GAGAGGATTTTTTTGGTTTTTTTTTTTGGAGAGATTTTCACTATAGGGCACGTGCGCTCACCAGAGAGAGACATAGAGACAGAAAGCGAGAAATCACCCCCCAGGGGGATGGTCATGCCACAATCCCTTCTCCTCCATTCTCCTCTCAGGATCTTGGGCATGCACGCACACGTGCCCAGGGTGAGTTTTAAGCCACCGGGTCCGGGATGCAAACCGCGGTCGACTACGTGGGAGTCCACCGACATAGACATTACACTAACTGCTGGTTCCTGGAGAGGTATTTTCTTGCTTTCCCATATTTCTTGTGACCCTGTAGTGGTTTCTAGTCATCTGATGGATGGTGCGTTTCTTCCTAATTCTTGAAATTCAGTCTGAACATTCAATGGATGCAGGAGGAGGTGATCTGCAATATCTCTTCCATTCCATTTTCACTCATTGTGCATCAGATTCAGTGGGAATAGAGGAATATTCTGACCCTAATTGTATTCAGATGTTTAGATCCTGTTCATTTGGACCTGTCTTGACACTTAGTGCATTACAAGCTGAGCAGCCAATGAATAAAGATAAAGAAAAAAGGAAAAGAATTAGAGAAGAGGAAAGAAGAAAAAAATTAAAAAGGAAAAAGAAAAAAGATAATATAAAAATTGTAGATTTTAATTTTAAAAAGCAAAAAATGAAAACCACGCAGCACGCTTTCACAGTTCAAGTTCAGTATCCATTCTCAGGATGGGCCTGGTTTGTGCCTTTCCTGAATGGAATGGGGAAAAGGCACAAATTAGCACAAAAAAAGGAGGGGCTTGAGAACCCAAAGAATACTTTAACTAAAAAAAAAAAAAAAACAATGAAAGTCATAGGGAGACACAGAGAGACAGAGAGAAATGTAGAGAAGGAGACAGAAGTAGCCCTATCTACTAGAAATTAATCAGGAGGGAGAAATCTCCGAAGAAAATCTTCATTTTTAGTTAAGGAAGCAATATTTCACAGCTCAAGTTTGGTATCCATCTCAGCCCAGTGTGATATTCAGATACATGTGTATAATGTGTAATGATCAAATATAGGTAATGTAATTAGCATATCTATCACTTCAAACATTTATCTTTTGTTTTTTGCATTTACACTTATTCATAGACAGATGAGAAAATAAGTGGATAAAGGACTCAAATAACAAAACTCTCAGTATTAATATTGATCATAGTTCATTGTTATTAAGTTAATGGTGCTGATAATTGTTATCTTATATGATTCTCTTAACAACCAAACAGGTAACTACATTAGTATTCCCATTGTATGGATGAGAAACTGAGGCTCAGAGTAACTATCCAAAGTCAGACTAAGAGTCAAACAGATTAATTCTATAACCACTGCCACTTATTATCTTCAAAAATAGTAGTTCAGAATATGATGGTCATGTTGACTTGTACTGTTTACTAGTTTTGTTTTTTTGTTGTAGTCACCCTTGGCATAGATGCCAATTCACTTGAAAGGTAACTTTTATTTTCAATTTTATCAATTACTTCCCAAGAGAACCATGTAAAACTCCAAAAGAGCTAATGCTTCTCAAAATATACTTTTAGACATCTTTTTACTAATCTGTTTTGATCATGTTGCTTCTAGAAAAAAAGCCCTTATTTATTAAGCAATAGTTACACGGCACTATTATGTACCCAGATATTCTTTTAGGTGCTTCATTTTGGAACTCATCTCAGCCTATAAATCAGGTACTGTTTTAAAAAAGAGAAACTGAGGGACATGAAAGTTAAGTAATTGCAGTTAGAACTGAGATCGGAGTTTAAGCACCAGAGAACAGGCATGGAACCACTATGTAATATTCTATTACTTGTTGAGCAATGAGTTATTTATAGAATGCATAATAGCCATTTTAATTCTATCAGGGAATTTAAAACTATAAAGTGAGTGTTGGTTGGTGTGTATAGATAGATGTATGCATCCAGATACATTTTTAAAAACAATTGTCACAAAAATTCTTATTTTTTACCACAGAGAAGACTAGAAAAACTTAAAGCCAAAACCAAAAGTATGTGCTGACTTTCCAGTGTAAAGGTTTTCTTTTTTTTTTTTAATGTATATAACATTAGGCAACATTATTTAAAAGTCAAGAAATTCTTATTTAAGGAATATCCCAACTTCTGACTCCTTCCACCGCTCACCAAGGTCCCATCTACCTTGGTTCCTCTAAAACTCAAGTCAAGATAGTCCTTTTTAAAAGAACCGGTGCTTAATTCATGGTTGTCCTGTCAGCCCTACCACAATTTTTTTATGTGGGCTTCCTTTTTCTCCATTTGAACTATGGACATACTAGTTACTTCCAAAGATTGCCCACCCAGGATCACTGGAGCCCAATTTCTTCAAATAATGACTGAAGGTCATTTTTAGCATAGCGGCATCTGCTTGGTTTTTAAATTCTGACACTCTCTAAATAAGTGAGTTCATATTTGTCTCTCAGCTTCTGTGGTACATGGTAACACCTTTAATTTCAGACATATTTTCAAGATTAAAAACTTTAAAAATAAATTAAGAGCACTCTTAATATATCCTGTCAACCTAAAAATTAGAATATAGTTGAGATTTTCCTCAAGTCTAGTGCCTTTAATTATCAACCCTCCCATTCTGGAACCAACTTTTTATTGATATGAATATCACTATCACTTTAAACTGCCTTTAGTGTAATATTCCTTCTTATATGAATCAAAACTTACACTGAACAGTGAGTTCCAGATTGTAAAAGAGGATTTATTTTTTGCACTTGTCTGTGTCTTTGTCTGCAAGATAAATAAAAACAAACTTAAATACTGAACAGATACATCGTTTATAAATTTAAATAAAATAAAAACAATTCTTTTTATGCAGACATGCGTTGTTCTTACAATTATAAACTAAGAAACCTATAGTTGAATACATACACAAACCTCAAGTTTAAGAGCCTCTGGAACAGTAAATAAATAGAAACTGCCACCAAAACCTTTCCCCTCGTTCGGTAAACTTGTTTTCAAGTGGATCCAGAATTTGGTGTCTTGATACCCACTTCAAGCAGCAGAACCAAGAGAGGGCTAGATTCTATAAATTTTCCTGGATGTCTTACTCTCAAAGAAAACTGAGGGACCCTGAACATATTTCAGTCTTGAACCCATGTAGGTGTTAGGTCTGCCTCTGCTTTCATCATTGGAGAAGATATTATTCAACTCTGACATATCTGTCATGTTTTAATGGCAACTGCATAAATACGTCACTATCATTTTATATTCTCAAATATTGGCTACTGTGTCTCTTATAAAAAGGCTATTCAATTTAATTTAAATAAGAAATTTGTATCCCATGATACCCTCCATCTGGTTAATTTAAAATAATGTAATTTGGACCATATTGAGGACTTCCTTTACATTTATCAATAATTTTCCTAAGAAAGGCCTGGGACATGTTGACCTTTGTTGAAGTCAGTATATATTTCATTTTAGAGAAGAAAGTCTATTCCCTCTAACTGCTTTTGTTGGGTGCAATTGTACCAAAAACAAGATGCTAATAAGTGGAATATTTTTTTTAAAATGGGATTTTGCCTTAGGGCATTTGTGCTCACCAAAGAGAGAAACAGAGACAGTGAGAGGGAAAGTGAGAAATCCCTCCTGGGGGGGCGATGGCCATGCTGCAATCCCTTCTCTTTCACCTCCTCCCAGGATCTTGGGCACGCACATACATGCGCCCAGAGTGAGTTTCAAGCCACCAGGACCAAAATTCGAACTATGGTCAGCCATGTGGGAGTTCAGCAACATAACCACTATGCTATCTGCTGGCCCCGTATGTGGAATTTTTAAAAGATACTCTCTCTATATATATATGTGTGTGTGTATGTGTGTGTCTGTGTACATAAATATATGGTTGTCGGAAAAGTCATGATGCATTTTTACATAGAAAAACAGAGAAAGAGATGATGACTTTTCTGACAATCTTACATAGAGAGAGTCATTGCCTCTAGGCACATGCTAACTGACCTATAGGCCACATTACTGACAAAGGGCAAGATTGATGTGATTTGTACATACACACAACTGTGGTTTGAATGTGTCCCCAAAATTCGTGTGTTGAAATTTGGTTGTAATGGCATTAAGAGGGTAAAAGTTAATCTATATGGTTGAAAGGCAAGCTCTTTGGGATATGCTTAAGATTGGAGAAAGCAGGGTGCACCCTTACACACACACCTGAACACTGGTGGGTTTATCAGGAGAGGAGCAGAGACACATAAACACAGACTGTGCTCTGAATCTGCTCCGGCTCTTGCCATGTATGTCCTGTGTCACCTTGGAATTCCACCAAGAGAAAGAGCCTCACCAGATTTGGCTTCTTCACCTTAGATTTCCAAAATCAAGAGCTGAATAAACCTCTGTTCTTATAAATCACCCAGTTTCAGGTATTTCTTTCACTAACAACACAGTGTACTAAGATGCACACCAACCCTAGGAGAGAAAAGAGCTCTGGTCATTGGCGTCACAGGCTCTTAGTTGAAATCCCAGCTCTACCACTTGCTTCTGCATGTCTTTTGACTCTTTCAGAGCCTCGGATCCCTCAATTATATAATAATATGGATGTAAATAATTTATAAGATCACTTTGAATACATTAGTTGGTCCAGCCCCTGGCATTTTATAGGTACACATAAAAAAATGGTATTCTTCATTATGAAGATCCTTTTTTGTTGTTGTTATGTGGAGTTAACAAAGAAAAGTAGGAAATACTGTGGCATCATCAAAATGGAAAAAAAGAAAAAAGACTCTGAATTCCTTCTGGTGCTCAAAAGTGAGATGCTTTGCTGTAAAGTGGTTAATACTGGGTGACCAACATGTGAGAATCCAGTATACCACATGTGATAATGTGGGGCCAAACGAACGGTTTGTTCTGTCACCCTGCTTCATTGTAAGATATTTTATTTAAAAAAATACAATTGAAATTACTAGATAGGTTTCTGTGATAGAGATAAATTTACTCACGATAGGATCATCTTGCCCACACTTAGAGCCGGACAAGGTATCATAGAGAGCATGTGGAGTCTGTGTGCACTTTCCCAGAGGTAGTAAATGGTGATAAATTATACCTCGGCAAAGAAACCACTCTTATTCAAAGCAAGTTTGGAAACAATATTTCAGGAGTCTAACCCTTCTTTAATCATATACTTTGATGGAAGAATGTTCTTTTGCACATCAGCTCAGCTCAATTCCTTCCAGAAGGACTGACATCTTAAACTGCACTAAACAATGAATCACCTTGTCAAATAAAGTGCAAAATGGAAAACCTGTTACCAAACTCATCTGATATAATGACATTTACAACAACATGTTTGAGGTGATAAACCGACAATAATAATTATATTTCCTTTAGACTTTGATTGTACTTTGAAAGTTTGATGCAATCATACTTTCTTCCTTCAAGAAAATTTTACACCCCGACATTTAATTTCTGAAACTTCAAACCTTCTATGAACATGCAAATCACAGTTGGCATTAAAAGAAGCACTCTTAGCTCCTTTCAGGAGCCTAGAATAATGATGACGATGATGATGCAAACAATAGCTAAGTATAGGAGACTTTTCCTGTAATTCAAGGTTGATGGAAGCATTTCAGTTCAGAAATGACAAATAGAGCACTTTTCTCTCCCTAACAACAAGATTTTGCTGGTGGACTCCTAAAAACAAAGGAGAAATCAAGGTCACACAAAATGCTGGGTTACAGCCACAAGCTAGAGCTTTTGCACACAGTAGGCACTTAATATTGAATTATTTACTATTTCGGGGAATTTTCAATGTAATAGTCTGAGCATTCAGAGGACTAGGTTCCTCCTGTTAGGTGGAGGTTTTAATTACTCTTCCCCTTACAGAGAATGCTTTGACTCTCCTTGAAATGAGGATATAAAACCGAGTTTCTGGTCCTCACAGACATTCCTGGATCCCTCTATGACTCTATCAAGCTGCTTGAAGGACAAAGTCCCTACAGACTCCTGAGAAAATGTCTCGTTTCCCTCTGGGGTGTCCAGTCTTCTCCCACATTCCTAAATTCTCTCTGCCACAGCAGTTGTGTTCAAAGGCTTGTGAGTTCATGCTCAGTAGCATTCTCCATCTTTTTTGCTATTTGTCAGTAGCTCCAGCCAAAAGTTCACTGGAGGAAAACATTAATACTTTTAACTAAGGTGAGAGTGGAGGTGCCATTTGCAGATAGCAGTTTTCTATGCTCTGTCTCAGAATTCCCTGGAAAATCAAGACAGCCTATAATCTCTTCCCAGGGTATTTATGATTACAAAAGTTCAGAGATTAAGAGGCAACATAAAAACTGAGTCACATCTAAAGTAAGACTTTTATTTTTAGACATAACCAAGGATCCAGTTGTTTCAGGTGCTCTACTGAGCATATAAATTGTATACTCTGTACTGTCTAGGAAGCTATAATCTTGAGTGGAGGACATGCTATATACACATTTCTTCCTCTGTGATTCCTCAGATCTTATATGGCATCCCATGATAGAGAGAACACACTATAATATCCCAGGCCTAAACTGTGAACGTGTTTATTAAGTTACCTATACGAATACTTTGCCCACACTGCATCAACCATTAGAGTTCCTAGGGGTCTCTATCTTGTTCTTCTAAAGTTAACACTATGTCTTCCAAAATAGTAGCACTTGATAATTCAGTTAATATTGAAATATATATAAATACTTAAATAAAAGGGGCCCAGCCTGATAGTGCAGTGGTTAGGCACTGTGCATTGGGAGCCAATAGCTGACCATGGTTCAAATCTCAGGCCAGCAGCTTGAAGAAACACTCCAGGCACATGGACATGTGTTTCTACAGTCCTGATAGAATGGAGAAATAGGATAAAAAGGATTTCAGTGTGACCAGGCCCCATTGAGGGGTGCACCCTCTCTATCCTCTCTCTGGTGAGTGTACACACTCCCTAGCAATAAAATAAAAAATAAAATAAAGTAAAACAAAAAAATAAAATACAGGTTATCAAAGATTTTTAACACCAAAAGGCAACTTGACACAGATTTCTAAGAGGCAGGGAGATTTTTCAGAACAGCTTTTGTGGTATCAGATCTAGACATAGTTATTCCATAGTTCATATTTGTTAAGTGAGTAAATGAAAAAATACAGGGAGACCTTCAATATATGGAATATGAGAGACAGTTTCACAATGTTTCACAATATAGACCTCAAGGGAAGAAGTTCTTATTGACGAATGAGTAGATCAGGGTGTTATGAGGATGTAAGCCATAGTACAGGCAGCAATGACAGCTATGGTCATTCATTCCATGGCAGGAATTTCATATACATGAACATGCTATCTCTCAATATGCACTTTCTAATGCTTACCTTGTAAGATGTTTATTATTATTCTCATTGTTATTATTTTAAGTTATTCGTTTCTTCAGTGAGAGATGCAGAGAGACACACTCTCAATAGAGTCCTCCAGCCATGACATATCCCCAGTGTCAGCCAATCCTGGATCATGGGCACACACATGTCCAACGTGTTCAAGGAAGTCTGCAGAAGTAAACTTGGACCCTTCCCAAGTGAGTCAGCATTGCAGAGCGTTGTGATACTGCCATGCCACCATCTGGCCTCAAGATGTTTATTATTAAACCCATTCCCCAGATGAAGATAAGCAGCTTCCCTGAGGTCAAACAATGAGAGACTAAGGCAATATTTGAAGTAAGGCTCTTGCAAAGTCTATTATTTTCTCACTATCCTGCACTTTCCTGCTTATTACCTGAAGTGCATAGAACCAGTGAGGGTGAGGAACATGGAGGGGAGG